CAAATTAAGTAGACAAAAGTAGGCAAGCTTCTAATAATAGGGAACACAGGACAAGTTGATAATTTTTCTACATTAAATCTTGTAAGGATTTCCATTTAAGGATTTCAGCTGAAGTTGCTGCACTTCTATAAAATACAAAAAGAAACTGGGGGGGGGGCAGCCTCAGTTCTTGCTTTCTTTACGTTGTCACTACAAAGGCATATTTCTTTACCAGCTGCTGCTTGAATTGATTTAAACTATTTTTGTTTAACCACAGCTGTCTCGGGATTTGACAAAAAGCATTGCATGCAAATCTGAAACAAAACGAGCAGGATTTCAGTTCTTAGCCAGCAAGAAAAAAAAAATCAGCTTGAGCAACATTGGTGTCAGGGCCCAGTGTGATGAGAAATTAATGCAAGTCCTTACTTGCAACGTAAACATTTTGAAATGTTGGTGTTTTGAGCTAAGTCCAAATTGCTAACATGGACTAGAAAAGAATTTAAAATGGGCCACTAAGACAATACAGGCAGTCCTCAAATTACGATCATAATTGAGCCCAAAATTTATGTTGCTAAGTGAGACAGTCAAGTGAATTTCCCCCCATTTTATGACCTTTCTTGCCACATTTGTTAAGTGAATCACTGCAGTTGTTAAGTTCATAACATGGATGTTAAGTGAATCTGGCTTCTCCATTGACTTTACTTATTAGAAAGTCACAAAAGGCAATCACATGATCCTAGGACACTGTAACCATCATAAACATGAATCACTTGCCAAGTTTGAATTTTGATCATGTGACCATGGGGATGTTGCAACGGTTGTGTTGAAAAATGGTCATAAGTCAGGCTTACAATGATATTAAAAGATAAATGTGGATCAGTTTATTATGAAACCTGGGATAAATTTTATCACTGGAGGAATTTGAAGAGGACAGTAGGGATTAAAGATGAATGTTAAGATAGAAATATATGTTATTTTAGAACAAGTATTGTATATAAAACTTAGATGTATATGTAGAGATGAATAATTGATTGTAAAAAGTGGAATAATCTGATAAGAACATATATACTGGAATGTCACGTTTGTTTTTAATTGTATTATAAATAAAATTTGAAAAAAAAGAAAAAAGAAAAATGGTCATAAATTACTTTTTTCAGTGATGTTGTAACTTTGAATGGTCACTAAATGAACTGTTGTTAAGTCGAGGATTACCTATAATGGCTACTGAGGCACCAATGGCCATCCAGGAACAGCCTCGGGGAAGCCTAAAGAGGCCACTGACATGTAACTTTTGATGTGAGGAGTCATCATAATAAATATACATTAGTAAACTTAATTTAGTAGTGTTAAATCCAATTTTCTTTTTAGGATGAGGCACTACCATACAATTCTGAGGCCAATGGCAGCTTCCAGCTTGAACAAGGTTGCACATCTCTGCAGAGATAGAAATATTAAACTTAATGGGAACAGTAATTGCTGTTATAATGAATCCTCAGAGATGCAAGTGGATGTTTGCTTGTGCAATGAAGCTTTTCTTCCTGCAGTTCCCGTGTGTGTGTGTGTGTATGTGTGTGTGAGAGAGAGAGAGAGAGAGAGAGAGAGAGAGAGAGAGATAGCGCACTTGAGGCGTGATTGGAAGAACTGTCTTGAGAAAACATTTTCTCAACATTCATAAAAGTCTGAAATATTTCTGTTTAATCCCTTTACAGCTAAGGAGGACTTAAGTCTGTCTCACTCATGGAGTGGAGATAAGATGAAGGAACGTATAATGGCAATATGGCAAAAACTAAGATGTTGCCAATGGTATTTATGCCGCTGGTAGGCGAAAGTAGGGACATGGCCTGTGGGTAACCTTAAATAAAACAAAACAGGCATTTTTCCCCAGACAAAATGAAGCAGAAAAATACTGGGCCATTTTTCAATTATTTGCTGATCTGAGATCCCCTAAACATTAACTTAGGAATAGGGGATTGTTCACTGTTGCTTAAAGGCAGAAATGAGGCCCAAGGCATTTTGAAAGTTGAATCCAAATGTGCACTCTCTGAAGATGATAAAAATATTCTGCTAAGTCATCCCAGTTGAATGCTGGTTAATGTGACACAAAGATCTGCTTCAAGCAGGCTAACTTAACCAGCTCTACAATCTGGTTAGAGAGAGAGAATAGAGTTTATAGTACACACTTGCATCAGCAGGTCACAGGTTTGATGCCTGGCATCTTCAGGGGCGTGTGTGGGTCTGTATGTGCACCTTTGAGTCAATGTTTACTGCTGGCAACTACCTGGACAAGTTCCTCTGGGTTTCTTGGCAAGAACTTGGATGTGGATTGCCCTTGCCTCTTTCCTAGGGCTGAGATAAAGTGGTCACCAATTGTGCCTAATGCAGGATTAGAACTCACAATCTCCCGGTTTCTCCAGGTGTGGCTAGGGAATATTAGTTAACTTTAGATGGCTGTCCCTCTCTCACCAGTGTAATTGTGATCAGCTAACAGGAATTAAAATACATTATATATACACTAGACACACACACATATTTAAAAATTTAAAAACACACACACTATTCCAACTAAATAACACCAAGTGGCTCCTGACGACACCATTTCTGCAATAGGTTGGTTGTTCACCTGCCCTCCCATGCCTCATTTGACATCCTCATTTCTGGGTCAGATGAAAAAGTGGTCAGATTTGTTAGAAGTCAGCTTCTAGACTTCTAACAGATATGGTAGCCGTGAATGTCACTCTCCAAAGCTACAGGCAGGCATGTGAGTGGCAGTGGTAAAGAGACTTGTCAAGATCATAGTGGAAGAGAAAGAAAAGATTAAATCAATCTCCTCAGTCCCAGGAAAAATCAGACCTTCCTACCTTTCTTTGTTAATAAAGAAAAAACATGCCCAAGACATATCTAACCAGGTGATGATGAACTTGGCTGGCTTTGTAAGATTGGATTCAGTTAGTTCTTTGACGAGACGCCACCAAGAAATCCCACAGTTCTAGTCAGACTGGAAAGTTGGAAACACATCCTGAAAGAAATCAATACTAAACTATGACTGTAATGAACTGGACTCAGATGAGACTTTGTTTGTTTGATTTACATAACCACCCATCTCAAACATATGATTCTGGGTTCCCCTGCACATCCAGGGCCCCAGACTCTAGTATAGATCCAAGTCTTCCAGCCCTTGTGAAAGATCAGTTGGGACATCTGATCTCTGGAGGCATGATATTCTGGGGGAGGGGTGGTGGTGGTTGCCACGACAGCAAAGGTTCCCCTAATTGGTGGACTAAATTGGAGCATGTATGCCTCTTCTGCCTGACCAAGTAGGACAGGTAGAAACAACAGGAGAGAGATGGTCCTATAAGCAAATGACTCTAAGCCAATGGTTCCCAACCTTTGGGGGAACAGGGACCGGTGCTGTGGAGAGGTTTTTCCACGGACCTGAGGGTGCGTGGTTTTGTGTGCTGCCTGCATCTAGTGGATGGGGCTTTGCTTTGTTTGTGTGGACCGATTTCTGGCATGCCACGTCCCAGTACTGGTCCACAGACTGGGGGTTGGGGCCCCCTGCTCTAAGCCATGATGCTTACGCTGGGCAAAGGGACAGGTGGCCTCTTTTGAAGCAGAAAGTTCCATATTCTTGATAGCCCAGCCTTCCACCTTTCTATCATCCTCTCCACAAATCCAGGTCTGATCTGTGTAGATGTAAAATTCATAGAATAAAAGTGGATTGTACATGTGTGTTTGCCTGCTTTAGAATAGAGAATAGGAACGGAACGGAATGGAATATAAGAATAGAATAGAATAGAATAGAATAGAATAGAATAGAATAGAATAGAATAGAATAGAATAGAATAGAATAGAATCCGGAAGGGACCTTGGAGGTGTTCTAGTACAGCCCTCTGCTTTTTTGAATCCCTCTTCTCTACACTATCTAGATTCTAGAATAAAAAAAGATACAAAAGGGAGCAGGAAAGTTCTTTCTACCCTAGTCCTACTGCTTGGCAGATGACTAATAGAAGCAGGAAGCAAAATGAATTCCTTGTCAGCTACTGTGGCAAGAAATGCAGCTGACCACCAAGCAAGCAGCTGTGTCCAGAAGGGAACTGGCTATTAGGGACAGCAACCAGCTGCTCTGTTTGCTCACCTGCTTGCAATTCCAGAAGGCAGGGGTCCTTCTAACCAATGATGGCCGCTGCTGGCTTTCGAGGAGCCAGTGGGGTCACTACAATAGGTTTGCCCCAAGGCAGATGCTTTTGCAGATGTGCTAAGCGCAGTTTAAAGAACTGCAGCGTTCCTTCCTATAGTGTTCGTCAGGGCTTAGCTGCATGAACATCTATAGTATTTATCCCACGGCTCCTTTTCTGGAGAATGCAAAGGGGAGTAAGAAACGATGCGCCAAGGATACCACGGCAAATAGAGCTAACTTTAGGTTGCTCCAGTGTCACTCGGTTCAGCATCCCATATTTTTCTCTTGCGCTGTTCCAAGCCTAATGGATTGGGGAGGCGGGAGGGGGTCCTCCCGCGCCCCTCAGCCCCACACAATGCTCTAAGAAGCCCCATCTCGTCGACATGGTGGCGGCGAGAGATCGTTTGGGTCGTGTAGTGTTGGACAAGCCTCCACCCCAAACCCCCCCCCCCCACCCGTCGCAATTCAGATACTAAAAAGGGGTGGTAGTAACGGTGGCGGCGATTCGCACTCTGTAGGCTGGACGTCGAATGGAAACGTCTGAATTGGACCTCTTTCTCTCCCCCCCCCCAAAATAGATGACCAAGGAACCATTTGAGAGATTCGGAGCTGCGGCACCAGGACTCAGAGGGGATTATGCTTCCCCCGCGGCTTCGACTGTCCGGCACCGAGCTGACCAACACTCGCCTTCCCACTCCTCGGTCCCCACTCGAGGAAGCGCCGATCCCCGCAGTTGCTCCTCTCAGCGCCTCCGCCGAGCCTCGCTAATTGGCTGGCCAATGGCAAAGCAGCCCAAGAATTTAGCGTGGAGTCGGCCTCCCCGATTGGCTGGCCGGAGTGTCGGGGAGGCTGAGCGTTCCCGGGCAGGACTGCAGTGCACGCCGCCAGCCTCGCTGCATTGTGCGCTCGTGGGAAGGGGTGGCAGGCAAGGCAGGCAGGCAGGCAAGCTGGCGGGCCGTCAGTCCGTCCGGAGGCGAGGAGTCTGAGCGTTTAGCCGGTGAGTAGAAGGCTGCTGTCCGGCGATCGCACGTTCTTTCTCGTCGCGTTGCTGCCCCCCTTTTCGTCTTTTTTTAACGAGCGTAAGAGCAAAGGAGGGGAAAGGATGGGAGCAGTCGGCGTTGAACCCCGGACTAGGCTTTGTTGAGCGCTGCGGTCCCAGCGGGATCTGCAGCAACAGATGATTTTTTTTTTTCCCCTTCTGGGGCATGGCTGGCACGTCCAAGGCTATGCTCAAGAGCGCGGCGTTTCCCCTCCTCTGCCGGGCATTGGCTTCATGCTGTAATAGTGTTATTGGCAAAGGGATGGCCCAAGGGCTCCGCCACCGGGAGAGGTTTAAAAGTCGGGACGGAGGAGGCTCGCTTTCTCGAGGGAAGTTTGACGCTTGCCGGTCGGCGGCAGATGCATCACTGGAGGAATTCTCCTCTTTCCCTTTTTAAAAGTTAAAGGAAGCAAAACTTTTTTTTTTCCCCTCCCGGTGACTGCAGAACATTATTCAGCCTGGATAAGGAATTAGCGCGAGTCTGAAAACTTAAAAAAGAGCAGAAGTTTAAAGTTTAGAAAGGTGGATCCGTAATCCGCGGTTGTAACTCCTATATATGCCAGGCTTTATTGATAACTCCATTGGAAATCGCTAGAGACGAGCAATCAGGTTTACTGTTCGCGTGCACGAGAGCACAGACGAAGTACTTGGATTTGAGCCAGTTTGGGGTCATTGATGCAAGCTTTGCACTCCGTTAAGGCTGCGGAACCTTGTTAAACTTATTTTAAGTCAGCAGCTCATCTGTCGGGGTGAATATTTCTAGTGAGCTAGGTGTATATCCAACATTAGTTTGTTTTGTTTCAAACATTTGAATGGGGGTAATTCCCCCCCCAGTAATTTCAACCCCTTCTTTCTAGAGTTTAATGGAAGGAGATTTAATCTTTTTGAAAGCTAACACATAGTTGTACTTGGTGAGAAACAAATCCATCCAAAATGTTTTACCATAAGCAGTGTTTCATGCAGTAAAGATCATTTCAGGTACAAGAGTCCCCAATTTTTATGTAGAGCACAACACCATCAGACCTCTTTGCGATCCACTACAAGGTAGGAGCTGGCAGTGCAAATAACACCCACTCCGAGTTGATATCTAAAACAAAAACCCCTCGATTTTAAAAACGTTTATTAAAAGTTTAAATGCCCTAAATTTCATGAGGTTTTTGTCTTTCTGCTTGTAAGTGTTGGTGAAATGTTGGATGCAGATACTGAAATCTTGTGTGGCATGGAAGGAGGATGCCCAAATCTTCCAGTTTAGATTAGTGTTATTTATTATATTGAGCATTGTCATTAGAAATCTTCTGCAATATTAATTTGGACTACTAACAGCTCTTGGACCACAGGTTGAGAGCAGTAATATAAGGAAAAATCAAAACACAACAGTCAGAGCAGAGTCGTATATTGTGTAGGTAGATTTTTTGCACGTTTATATGAGAGCTCCTTTGATGCTATGAATAAGCCTGCATGAACCTGAATTACTAGACTTCATTTACATGTGCATTTATTCATAAAGGCCTACCTTAACGATTTAAACATGCTAATTGCCATAAAAATTACACATCTAATTAATCTAGCTAAAGCTGCAAATTCTATCCTGAATTCCATTTTGCCATTTTTAAATATTTATCAGCAGTTTTATCAAACATCAAAGGTGTATGTTTTCAATAAATGAACAATTCCTTATATAGGTTTATCAAAGAATAATGTGAGACTTCATATCAGCTTGCGGAAGGCATCTTGGCATCTGACAGTGTTTTTTTTTCCCTGAAAAGAAGGAATCATAGTAGGATGAATCTTTGTTTATAAGGATTAATCCTTGAAAATACAAGAATTGATGCTTATTCACAATCATAGCTTAATATCTGATGGAATGTGCACCTGCAGCAGCAGAGGAGAAGGATTTGGTCAAAGCTTTCCCAGAATGAGATCTGGATCAAGAGATTGCGCAGTTCCAAACTGGAGTGTGTGTGTGGGGGAAGAGTTTCGGGGTAACCCCACCCTAGAATCTCTCATGATGTATCTAGTAGGTTTAAAAAGTTAGAGTTATAGTATTTTAAAGATTCTGTCCATTAGGTGTAAGCAAATAAAGGACTGAACTCAGTTGGATCCCACTGTCTCATCTTTGGATGGAGCCTGTCAGTATCTTTTGGATTGCCTTAGGTAATGCTTGTTTGTTTATTTATTTAGCTTTACAATGTTATCTCTGTGTTTTCTTTTGAAGCCTATTTATAGAAATCAGACTTTCAACCAGCAGCAGTCCAAATAACCTGCAAATGATGGCATCGGCGAATTAGTTTCACAAGAATAGCCATCTGCATGTTAGTCTTCTGGAAAAGTCAGAAGGAAGAAAATTTGGACCAATTATTTGAACCCAGATTCACTTGATTATGAGATGGGTGGCATATAAATTAATAAATAAAATGCCTCACAGGTAAATGGCCATGGAGTCTCAATGTTTAATGACTGTACAGGTGGAAACTGACCCACAGTGGTTCCACCAGGCCAAAGGCAGCCTCAACCTTGAGCACATAACCCCAAGGCGCCTTCTCCATCTGCTTTGCATTGTCTGGTTGAGAATATCTGCATTAGGATCAGAGGGAAAATACCACTTCAATCCAGAACACATGAAGCTGACTTCAGCTGCTGGAGCGATGAAATAAAAGCAGTGGGATGCCATATCTTTTTTTGAGCAGCTGGCTCAACCTCTTTGTGACCCAGGAGCTGTAGATGAGCTATTAAAATAAAATATTTTGAGGATATATTTTCAAGCCCTATTTTTTTTTTTTTTTAAAAAAAACCTCTTTCTGCTCTACCATCTCTCATGTGACAGATTTAAGGGAACTAACAGAGAACTGGCATCATACCACCTGTTCGGTACCATCTGACAGCATATAAAAAAAGGCTCTGTTCAGTGAAGGTGATTCCTATTTTGAAGTCAAATGAAGCAATTCAGATGCAGCATTACATCTACTTGATTAACTTGGAAGGATTGTGGGTAGCATAATGGTTAAGAGCAATGCGTGCTGAGTGTATGTCAGATTTCAGCAGAGTTTTGGTTTGCGGGATCTGCTTCAATCTGGTAAAGAGTCAGAATTAGGTAGAGAATTGGGGGGGGGAGCTCTGGCTAAGGGGTTGAACTCATTCATTGATTGCATTCCATTTAATATACACTGTGCCAAGTTACAAATGAGTTACTGCAGATCAAGGATATTAACAATTACTGCCGATTGGAGGAGGGGGCAGAGAACTGAGAGACTTTTGATGATTAGCATTTGAGCATAAGAAACCCTGCCAATATGTTACAAAACATCCAGTGATCCATTTCTAATTCATTTTTTAGAACAGCTTTGGAATTGATTATCATGCTGGTGGAACACCATTAATTGGATTCATCAAGAGCTTGGAAACTGAATTTATGTTTGCAGAATCATGTCTGAGGATGTGCTTCTGTGATCTGCAGTCTTTCTGGAAATGTCCGACGTTATTGAATGTTGTACAAGAATATAATGTTTTCGATAAAACAAGTTATAAAAATATAGAGTGGTGACTGCTGCACCATAGCTTTACTGTTTATGGTGCTGGTTGTTGGTGTAATGTCTCATTTATCAAATTGATTAGAACTTTTATGAATGAAGGTCTGGGCTGAGGAATATAAAATGACCCTTAGGAGTTTGGATATACTCAAGGGCTTGTATATCTTGGAGCTTGTACCTTCTTATATTGTCTTTTATGCATTTTGTGCTAATACAAATCATTTGCATTTCAGCAGGTTATCAGCTTCCTACTCACTGCAGCTTTATTAGTTCCCCAAAATCTATCCTAAATTCAAGATAATCTCTAGAATATTATGCATTTTAGGCAAGCATAAATGCACTCTCCTAACCCCTAGGCACCAATGGATGCAATGTAAAGTTTATTCTTCTTCACACAATTGAAATTAGTGAGAATTATTCAGTTGAAAGATAGTAGGATGTCAAATATTAATGCTATCCGTCCCAGTTTGAGCAGGTACAATTTAGTGTTATAATGTAATCTGACACCTGTTGAGACTCTTATTATATCCAATTTTGATATTAGCCTGCATTTTTTTATGCAGGTTTTTCTAATTCATCCATTTTTGTATAAAGTTTTATTAGTTTATATTATACGATACAATCGAAATACAAAGTAAATAGCGGAAAAAATAGGGAAGGAAAAAAGGAGTAGAAAAGTGAGGAAAGGGAGGAAAAAAAGAGGGACAAAAGGCATTGACTTCCAACTTCCTTTGGTGCAATAGAACAGGGCTTTTCAACCTTTTTCACCCATTGTACTACTTTTAGGATGTGGCAATATCCGAGTACCACCAATCGCCTAGCAAGGTGTCAAAAACTTGATGACCCCCCCCAAAAGGAAAAAAATAAAGTACAGGTAGTCCTCGACTTACAACAGTTCGAAGTTACAATGGCACTGAAAAAAGTGCCCCCCAAGCCACAGCCGAGCAAGACACCTGCCTGCCTGCCCGTCGGCGCTCTTCCTCCTGAACGAGGTTTTCATTGTGAGCATTTCTGTTGAGGATTGGCAGTGGGGGTGGGGTGGGGGGTGTTTGGTTTTTATTCCCCCCGTCTGCTGGGTGGTTGCAGCAGGTTTTGGTCACTTGACATGATCCTGGGACACTGTGACTGTCATAAATATGAATCAGTTGCCAATTTACATCTGAATGTAAATCACAAGACCCTGGAGATGCTGCAGCATTCCAGCTGATCAGCGCTTCTTCTGGGCTCACCAGAAGCACCAGGATCAGTGCTGCTTTCCAGCTGATTGGTGCTTCTTCAGGGCTCAGCAGAAGCACCAGGATCAGTGCCGAGCTCCAGCTGAAGCCTGGCGCTGATCCTGGTGCTTCCACTGAGCCCTGACAGTCCCGAAGAAGCGCTGATCCTAGCACTTCCGCTGAGCCCTGACAGCCCTGCAGCTCCAGCTATCTCTCA